TTTATGCGTCGCTTGGTCCTCTAGGCACTGGCAAGCGGGCAAGATTGAAAGACACAGTCAAACCATTAAGGACATGCTTAGAACTGTTGTTCGACAGACTAGTCCTAAAGGGAGAGAGCAGATGCGACTTGTTGGTAGGGAAGTTGCTTGGTCAAAGAACACTCTTGCGCGTGAACACGGCTGGGCGCCTGTGGCACTTGTTTTTGGCAAGGAGCCAAGGGTGTTTGGCGAGTTGCACCGTGAAGGCGAACCAAGTGCCTTCCATCCCAGAAGTGACCCTGGTAGCGAGGTTGCTAGAAGAATGCAGTACCGGTACCATGCTAAACTTGAGTACATCAAATCCCAGGCCAGACAAATGTTAGCCCGTACCGCTCACAACAGGGTTCGCAAAATCACTAATCATAGGATTGGGCAGATGGTTTTCTTCTGGAGAAGTGAACGGAAAAGAGAACCTAGTAGATGGGTTGGTCCGGGGTATGTTGTTGGGGTTCAAGGGAGTAACGCCTGGGTTGCTGTTGGGGGTAGGTGTTTCTTGGTTGCAGGTGAGCATTTGCGTGAGGCCTGTGGTGATGAGAAAAAGGCCATTGCTCTGTTGAAAAAGACCCCTAAAGAAGCCACGTTGGAGGATTTGACCATGCAAGAGGCTCCTACGGAAGAACCTTTGGAAGTCGAACAGCAGCCTATCTTGCAGGAACTGGCTAGTACCGGCGGGGGTAGGCTTGAGGGGATTGCGGATCTTCCCAGTAGTTTAGCCAAACTTGTTTCGACTCAGGGATGGCAAAGAGACGATGCCGGCAATCCTGTGGTTGTTAGTCAAAAGGCATGGGCTTACCGAACTCCTGAAGCCAAGCTTGATGTTCATAAGTACCCGAACTACTTGGGGAAGGTTTGACGGGGTGTGGCAATGCCTTGAGAAAGATGTTAGATGGCATGACCTGGATAACCCGAACAGTTATCTGCGTCAAGCACCTGCCGAGTCGTTGATCACTGTGTTTCAAAGCAAGACCAAACGGGAGATGTGTCTTGAGGACGTCCCATTAAGCATGAAGAAACAAAAGGGCACCGACAACGAAGCTCATCGTGTCCATACTGTGGCCTATGGGAAGTCCATGAGTAAGAACAAACTTAAACGCATGATGGATAAAGAGATCCCCTACGAGAAGATCCCGGAAAACGAACGTAAGCTGTATCAGGAGGCCCAAGAGAAGGAATGGAATAGTTGGAAACAGTATGACAGCTGTGAAGTGTTGAGCGAGGAAGAGAGTGAGAGGGTGTTAAGAGAGTATCCCAGTAGAGTGTTGCCTAGCAGATACGTGTATAGGAACAAGAACGCAGGGCTTGTTGATGAGCAGGGTAGACCTCTCCCCACCCGGGCTAAGGCCCGACTGTGTCTTCAGGGACATTTATGTCCCGATGCTCAAACTGGGCAAGTTCAGGTCGACTCTCCTACCATGGAACGAGTCTCGACCATGCTGTTCTTGCACATGGCTGCTAGCTATGGGTGGACTAAGAACTGGTACATAGGGGACATTAGCAATGCGTTCCTTCAAGGGGCCCCGTTGGTAGGAAAGCAGCCTATGTACATGAAGCCACCGAAACAAGGACTTGCTGGAGTGAAACCTAACCAGCTACTCCGGCTGCTGAAGCCGGTTTATGGAAGGCCTGATGCCCCAAGAGCTTGGTATGAAGAGCTGGCAAGAGTCCTCACCGGTGAACTTGGTTTCTGCAAGTCTTACATAGACCCTGCTGTTTTCATGCTTCGCGATCATCAGGGAACCTTAACTGGGGTTATGGTGGTTCATGTTGACGACTTGATGTTTTGTCATGATGGTTCCGCGATGGCCGTGAAAGCTGCTGAAACCCTTGCTAAGAGGTTTCCTTTCGGGACGTGGGACCGTGTTGCTGACAAACCTAGCGGGGTTACGTACTGCGGGAAGGAGATTCGTCTTCAAAACGTCGCCGGAAAGGAACGGATACTGTTGTCTCAGGACGGGTTCATAGATGGACGCCTGGAGGAAATGGAGTTGTCGAGAGAAAGGAAAAGAAACCCTGAGATATATGCCACGGAGGAGGAACGTGGTAACTTCCGTTCTGTTGTGGGGAGTTTGCAATGGCTTGCTACTCAGCCCCGACCTGACTTGGCTTTCGAAACTAATCAACTGCAGAAGAGGATTGCAGACTTGAGGGTCGGGGACTTAGTTCGGGCCAACAAAGCCGTGAGGGAAGCAAAGCTTCACAGGGTGCAGATCGTCTTCGAGGACCTGGGAAGAGATTCACAGCTGGTAGTATACTCGGATGCGGGGTTATATTCGAGTGTAGGGGTGGAAATCTCAGAGCAGGAGGCGGACGATGTGCTGCAGTCTTCTTTTGATAGACGACTTGTGTACTCCCAGAAGGGCGACGTGGTTGGATTCGTTAAACGAGGCTCAACCGAAATCAAGGGCACCCCCAATCATATTAACATCTTGGACTGGAGAAGTAGCACAAACAAAAGAGTGGTAGAATCCAGCTTCGCTGCTGAAACGCACGCTGCCTTGATGGCTCTGGGCATGGGACACTTCTGTCAGGTGTTAACTAGCGAGCTTAGGTTCGGTTCTGATGTTGTGGGTAGTGTTGAGGATGATGGATGGAATGATTTGGTTCAGATGACTTTGGTGACTGACTGTAAATCTATTTACGACACTGTTCACAAGGACGGACAGCATATCACCGACAAGGCTAGTGTTATCCATGCCGTGCTTCTTCGGCAAATTTTAAGCACACGCAAAGCGGAGTGCAAGACTTGGCTCTTGTGGGTACCTACTAGGCACCAGATTGCTGACGGTCTTACTGTCTTACTAAGGGAGGACGTAGTAGGGAGCTCCGGGAGCAAGTCGCCGGTGGAGTGGTTTTCAGAGAAACGGCTGTAAAGCGCGGAAGGCCCTCAGATCAACATATAGTAGTACCAGTGTTAAGGTTGCTCAGGAAGCTTGATCTGAGGGTGCGCAAGCTGTTTTGAGGTTTGAGTCTAGACGCTGATGTCTTGACCGCACGAAGCCGCAGTGGCTCCTGGTTAGCAGCGAAAATAGTGCGGGGCGTTGCTTGCGGCATGGCATTTTGAGCCCCTTTGCAGATTAGATTCTGCAGAACGTAGGCCCACATCTGATCTAGTATGGCACTTGCACTCTCAATTGTTCAACATGCCATCATGTCGGGAAATATAGTTGTCATGCGTCTCATCGGGCCTGTGAATTGTTCCATAGATGGCCATCTCAAAGCTGTCAGAGGATTTTTCCGGAGCCGTCTGTCCCCAGGCACCTCCTAGGATAACCACCAAAAGCTGAATGCCAGACAGATTTGAAGTTTTGAGCTTGTCGGGGCTCAGCAAAGTTACTTTTATCAATCAAGTTCCTTCACATACCAGAGCCACCCGCGGCGCTAAGCGCGCCAAATGCTCCATGGGCCACATCGCAACGAAGAACTCGAGCTGCCTGACATACTCAGCGACGCCTGTCGTTCCAAGAACGAATCGACGAATTGCTGTCCACGGCAAACTCTTCTAGTCCGTCGCCGCAGTCATGATTCTTGTTGTTGCTTCCGAGCCCAGGTCCGGTTTGTCACACGCACTGAGTGCGTTCCCGCTTTGATATCGAAGCTTCAGGCTCCGCTAGCAGTGAAAACCCCTGGATAGATCAGCGAAAGCATCAGGCATCAGGATGGCATCAGTCCCCAACTGAGATCGTTGAAAGATTATCCTTGATAATCAAGATGAAGCACTGGTGGCCACAACACTGTACGATGCACACTTTTTCTGGCCCAAGCGCCCATTGTTGCCTACGCCTCTGCAAGGGCCTGTCATGGCGAAGCCGAACTCACAAGCCTGAACCTCAACCTTAACTGCTACAACCCTAGACCCTCACTTTAAATAGACAGCCCAGCTGATCGGTAAACCAGTAACCATAAACCGTGAACCGTAGCCCTGGACTGTATACATTTGATGTTAGTCATGAACCTAGCCCCCCGATTGAAACCGTAGCCTTTGACCCTATCGACCTCAATCCAGTCCTTAAACTTAAACCCTAAAACCTGAGCGCACCAACCCAAAACCAACTCTAACCCCTAGCTAAGCTTGGAAACCCTGGTCACCCCCAAACCTAGCCCTAACCCGACACCCTAGACACCTTTAACTTAGCCTTAGACCCCAAAGTTAATCAAGTCCTAACCTTAAAGAGTACATCCAAAGCCGAAATCCTGGACCCTAGACCCAACAACCCTAAGGCTTCACCTTGAAAAGCCCCCCTACCCGAAACCGTGAAGCCTAATGCAAGACTGCATACTTTTGACACGGCCATGAGTTTCACCCTGCCGAAAAGCATCCCAGCGCGTTTTCAGCGAGAATATTCATGCACGCATGTATGAACCCCAAATTCCAATCCCTGATGCCCTATCCCTAAGCCCTAAATCCTAAGCCCTTCCATCAGCAACCCCAAACCGTAACCCCCAACAACCCGAGTCCATTGATTTCCAATCCTTCAATCTCAAACCCGCAAAATGCAAATCTCCCTTGTAAGTGGGTAATCTTTTGGTTAGGCCCCTACCCATCCCCAATCTCTTGGCCGTGGGTGGCAAACTTTGGAGCCAGGAATAAGTTCTTGGCTCGTAACGTAATTACTCTCTTACAGCTTGTCATTTGTATAAAGCCCCTCGCCCTGAGCTAATGGTGAGGTCCGCGTCGGCTCCGGCTAAGCTGGGAAGTTGGGATCGTTCACGTATTGGCTTTCATCTCAGGCTTCCAATACGGAGTGCCTTTCGCGCAAGATGTGCAGGCATCCTACAAGAAGCAATGTGCCGAGTAATTCGGATCATGCTGGATCCATCATATTTGCTCTCAGTGCGCAGCTCAAGAACAGCCAGAAACTCCAATGGAAAGGTGAAAAAGGCAATGCATGTCTGTGAGCCGTCCAAGTTGTTTCATTGCCTCCTGTGCCTGGCAACTGGGAAACGAGACGCACGCTACAGGGAATGCTGTTCCTCCAAATGCTGGCCATAAGCGTGCCTCCAACGCTAATGAGCATGCAATGTGTGCCATCTGGCTGACTGAAGCGGGGAGGCATTCAAGGTTTTGAGAATCCAAGTTGTTGTATGCAGCATACGGGTCTAGTCTCTGGTTCTTGGCGGTAATGTTTTTTGGTCGAGAGCATTCGGCTGGGGTGCTGTGCGGCACTCCTTTCTGAGAGTTCTCCCCTGACAACATCAGCCTTCCACCATCGCTGTGACAATTCCCACTTCGAAGTACCCCCGAAAAGACTGCAAACACCGGCCCAAGCAAAGATATGGAAAACACTGCACACTGCAGAGAAAACAAAACGATTTGTCAGGTGGCCCTCGGCCTGGAGTATCTCCACGACAAAGGAATCTGCCATCGAGACCTGAAGCCGCCCGCCTCAGAGGGCTTACGGCTGGAGAGGTGCCAACAAAAAACACGTTTTTGTTTGCGTTTTTTTGACCACGACCCAAGGCCCGAGAACGTGCTCCTGGACCTGGAGGGTCACGTCAGGCTGCGCTTGCTTGCGCTTGTGGCTTGAAATCTTGAAAGTGGAAGTCGCGATACTGGAAAAATGCCGCAAAAAGGCTGACTGACTTCGGGCTTGCCAAGATGGGGCTCCGCACAGAACCTAGACTTCTAGACTTCAGCATTCGCAGCTGGTCTCAAAGCTCGCCTGCCAGGGACTGCCCTGACGTCCACGATGTGCGGGACCCCGGAGTACTTGCCACCGGAGGCCTGAAGAAACATTCTAGCTGGTGTCTTTTAGCTGCAAGTCTGCCCTGTCTTACAAAATCTGCGAGCTCAAGCTCTTCCTTCTAGCCAAACCCGCACATCCATGAACGCGGACGCTTCGAGTAGCAGCGTGCTCTCAAGACCTGTAGAATTCTTCATGGATTGGCTCTGTGATGTCTTCATGGTGCGCTTGGGACAGTAGAGTGTGCAGGTCTTCCGGCGGCAGTCTTATGCCTGCGAGTTGGATTGGCCCGGCCTTGAGATGTCTTCATCCGCCAGATCTGGAAACGAGATCTTTGAAGAAAGTCAGGTGGTCTTTTGGTGTGCTCATGTTCGAAATGTTGGAGGGGCGACCTCCATTCAGAGATCAGAATGAAAACAGGCGCCAAAGTCGATCCCGACATAGTCAGCCATTCCCTGCTGCAGGCTGTTCCAAATGATTATGGATGGGCAGTTCCGCTTTGAGTATGCTCTGGACTCTGGCCTCAGAACAGCCTGTCATGTGGAAGCAAAGCTTCTGAGGTACATACGGACGACGCCAACTGCCTCATCAAAAAGCTTTTGACTCCCGACCTTGCATCTCGACTCAAGTCGGCGGCCGGCATCAAGGCGCGTCTTCAAAGTCCCTTCAAAGCCACTGAAATTCCCTGACTCGGTCATTCTCTAGTTACGTTTGTGGTCTTCCTTTTTCTTTTCCTACTTCCCGGCTTCCCTCGTTTCTTCCTCTCAGGCGAGCCCTTGGCTTGTGTCCATCGACTGGGAAGCGGCCTTGAACTTGAACCTGAAGCCTCCCTTCAGGCCTTGGCAGAAACCTGCAACTTTGGCCTTACAGAGTAACACTTCTGAGAGACTGAGGCCCGTGTCCGCCAGCATGAGATGCTGTTCGCCGCGGCTCAGGCCAGGCCAGGTGAGCTCCAGGTGTGCTCCAGGTGGGTTCCCCGCATGCTGAGGTCAATTTAAGTTTAAGTGAATTGAAAACTCTCTTCGTGTTGTGACGGGGATAGATTGCTTGGAGGCCTTCCTCTCCAGATGTTACATCGCTTGGAAACCTCCACATTCAAGGCTTTACGCCCGAGCCCACAGCAAAGCGCAGCAAAGACCCAAAAAAATCGTCTTCTCCTAAGGTACGTGCCCGAGACGAGAGGTCCCGTGGCCGTGGCCGCCGTGGCAGTGAAAGCCTGAAAACCTAGTCTAACTCTTACCTCGTCTCAAAGAGGGCCGTTTGGGCTCACTTTGATTTCAAAATTCGGAGGCACACACACTCCAACTGTGTTGGCTCCAATTCTTTTCAGACACAGATGCAGCTGCGCAGCCGCGCACAAGAGGTCCCTACATCCCGAGGGGCAGTACGTCCTCTTCAGTGAGTTGCAGTTAGCCGGTTAGCACATACTCAGATCCGTTGCCTCCGCAGTGCTTCTGCCCGGTAAAAGAGATCTTCGCGGCTGCAACAGCTGTAAAAAGTTTGGCGAGTCAAAGCTCCCTGGTAGATTGGATGGCCAGTTAGCGCGGCCATGGTTGTCAAGTTCTTTCCGGGCGAAGCATTCGCCCCGCCTTGCACTTTGCGCAGCCAAGGAGCCCAAGTTTCGATGCTGGCCAGCTCAAGAGGTCTCTTGGCCACTGGAGAACATCTCCGCTTTTCCTTGAATTCAGGGATACACCCTGGCAGGCAACTCTGTGCTGCAGGAATCACGGCATTTCTCTTGCTAACAAGTCTAATGCAGGTGAGTGACGGTGAGTGTGAAAGGGCGGCCGTCATTGCGGCGCAGCTGCAAAAATCAGCTTGTGCCCTTCCGCAGTGGAGGCCACGTGTTCCTCCATGCCGCCGTAGGTCTAAGTTTGCCAGAAAGTGTCTCAGAGTGTCGTAACCTTATGTACGATCTTGCTAGAGACTGCCGAAGAAGTGCTGCTTGGGGTTGACTAGCTGCACAAATCTTTGCCTGTCTGCTACATTGAACCGCAGAATAGAGGTAGAGAAGAGGAGAGGAGGTGTTTAGAAAGCAGGCAAAAGAAAAAGAAAAAAAAAGACTGTTTCTTTATGGAAGGCCGTAGGGGGCTCTCCCAGCCGCCTTTGGGCCTGGCTCCAGTTTTGAGGATAACGCTGCTACACCGACACACGTGTCTACTGTCTTACTGTCTATACAGGGGCTGCTGGCTTACGCTGGCTTGCGCTGTCTTACGCGGCCTGCTCGACAAAAGGTGCTTTGGCTCTTTGCGCACTGCACAAAGCAAAGCCAAGTATGCCGTTGGGTTGGCAAAAACGGCAGCTACCTCTGAGAGACGAGTGCCCAGGCGGCTCAAGTCCTGGCTGACAGGCAAAGCTAGGCGAAGCGCAGCTGAACACCTCAGAGAGAGATGAGAGAAGAGATGAAGAGAGATGAGTAGAGAGATGAGAAGAAATGAGAGTGTGTTTGAGGCAAAAAGGCAAACGCAAACAGCACTTGGCAGCTCTGTACCTCACGGCCGAAGCAACAACTCTGCAGCTGCAGCCACTGCTGCTCTTCGCCACGCCAAGCGCTGCCAAGCTTGAAAGCCGTTTCCATGTTGGCACCTCAGCTCTCCATATCGAAAGAAACGCCTTGTTCCAAACAGCTGAGGTCAGACTCGAACCCGCAGGAGCCTGGGCCTTCGGGGCCCTCGCATCCCTCGCATCCCTCGCGCTCAGGAGACGAGATGACTTGACTCAGCCTTGAACAGAATTGGAAGAGAACGAAAGCTTGAGAGCCTGTCGAGCCTGTCTCCGAAGAGGACTGGGGGGCCTGGGCTATCCTCTGGCGGCCTTCGAAGGCGTTCAGCTTTGCAGAGCCTCAGATCTCAAAGATTGGAGGGCCATAACTGGATCCTTGTTCTGATCCTTTGGTTTGCTCTTGTGCCAATCATGTAAAGCGACCTGACCTAATGCTATGAGCTAGAAAGGTGGTTTTAGGGTCGAGGATGGTTTGGGGCAGTTACTTGGGAGGTCAGGGTGACTCAGCGCCTAGAATAGAAGACTTATAGTAACACCCATCAGCCAGTCTATCGACCCGTTATCCCAATAGTATCAGCCTACTTACCCCCTGACCCTCCAGACAATCTCAACTCCATTGTGGGCCTTGGAATCTTGAACCTCCTCATGACATGGGTTGGGTGTGCAGCCCTTACACGAGAATTTGTTCTCAAGCACTGCCCTCAGAATGACGAGGCTTCCTAATACATTCTGGAACGCCAAATATTTTGAGGCCCGTCGGTAACTACGATGATAATCCGCTTAAGCCTGGCCCACCAATCTGTTTATGGTTGGTGAAAGGTGTAGCTACACTTCTAAGTAGGCTATAAATGACCCAGGCTCCTCGAGGCTTTCAATACCTATGTTCACTGAAGCCGCAGCTATGGACACATACCATTCACGTGCTGTTGTATGTATCCTGAGGTGCATTACTTGAAAAACTTTTGTATGTGAGGTTTGTCTGCTTGGTATCTCTTCGCTTACCCATACCATGGGCATGTGAAGACAGCTGTGTTGTGGATTATTGCAATTTGAGCCAATACTCACTCAATACTCCAGATAATGTCAGTGAATTGTAGATTAGAATGTGTAGTACAGTGCCGAGGAATGCAATTCTGGGCAAGTGTCATAGGCATCAATCTACAACATTCTACAATCCCAATACTCACTCAGTGCTCAAACCGTTACTCTATCTGCATGTTGTAGGACTTGCGTTAGCTTTAGGTTAAGCTTGCAACAGACCTATTTCATGGCTCGTGTGATGCTGTCTACAAGATGCACGGGCTTTATGGGTTCTGCCTAATTGTGACTTGATTTCGGCTTTTTCGACTTCAGTTTAACTGTTGGGATTGGCGGGGAATTCCGATCAACCTTTTGGATCACCTTTTTTTTTCAAATGCATGAATTTCCAGGATAGCACAACATAAGTGAAGCCTGCATCCGAACCACAACCTCGCAGGCCAGCACAGGCTTTGGATTCGGAGGGCCGTCGTGAAATCTTTGTGGGTCAGCTATTTCTACTTGGTTGCGCTACAACAATCTTCAATGAGACAGGCTAGTTCGTTGCTGCATCAAGCACGCTGCTGGGGCACTCAACTCGCGAGCTGGCTATCTCGAGTAGTGATGCGATTAGTCAACCCCCTATTTGCTAAAGCATGTAAAACAGTGTTAAACTTTGTGTAAACTTTGTGTAGACTCTTTGTTTAAAAGTTCAGCGGCTCTTCACCTTGAACCGTCACTTCAGCCTCGAATCAGAAGACTTGCAGCACGCTGCAAGGTGGTCCTCCTCTTGCCCCGGTGAGTGCCAGGCAATCCGTTACCCCTGAGTTGCCACGCAGTTACCACGCAGCCACTTGCTTGACTTGCTTGGTGCAACTTTGCGCAGGCTTGTGAACGCACCTCTACCAGGCGAACGAGCCGAGCAGGCCAGCGTGGCCAGCGTGGCCAGCGTAGCAGGCGGGGGAAGAAAAAAGGAAGCAAACTGTTCTCCCCAAGGCATTGCAAGTTTTGCTCCCAGGTGCGAGTATCTCATCTGGTGGGCCAGTCCTGCGCAAGAAGGCCCAAGTGACTGAGATTGACCGAGAGAATCTGTTTCGTGTTTGCCAGCTCTTCGACCAGAACGTGTCGGACTGCCTCTTCAGCTTCTTGAGGGAGCAGAGCTTTCAAGTCTGCGCAAGGTGCATATGGTGCCAGGACTGGGCTTCGCGATATCGAAAGCACAAACAGAGTTTGGACCAGCTCACAAGGACCCCAAAAGAGGACTTGTTCTCGCCTGCTAAGCCTTGAGGAAACATGCTTGGGCTGTTCTCAGGGACTGCGACCTTCTGCGGGCAGAGGTTTCGAAGCACCAGTGCTGATCCAAGAGCAGATTCGTCGAACTAAAGAAAGAAGAGGGAGGGCTTTCCTAAGCGCTTGCTTTGCGCTTTAGCTCCGAGCGCTGAGGGCCGAGGTGGACGAGCGCGCTCAGAAGGCCGCAGAGCTCGAGGACAAGACAAGACGACACGACGACATGACATGACATCCATGACATCCACCACTCATCCACTCTCTCTCTCTCTCTCTCTCTCTCTCCTCTATTCATTTGCGTCTCAAAATTGTCCCATCCAAAGCACAGCACACTCTGTTTGACCTCGGTGGCCCCCAGCATCGTCCTGCCATCAAACGTCATGGTCGATTGCCTGTCCCTGAGGACAAGTACCAGGGCCATACAGTGGTGAAGTTCACCGACATGAAAGGGGCGGTGGAGGCTTCGGGAACAGGGCTGTACTTGCGGAGAGCGCTGACAGGACCTTTTACTTAGGCTTCAGTCTTCAGGCGTTATTGTAGCACAGAACAGTCAGCTGCGTTATCAAGGCACATGCGTGCCAGAGTGCATGGTGACCTAAATCATTACATGGCCACCGCTACACAACTCTGCTAGTTGCTACAGAGTCACTAGAGCATGGATGGTGGACAAGAGAATTCTGCCATCTCAAATTACACGCACAACTGGAAGTGCTGACCCATTTATGCCTGCGAGCTGCTCGGGAGGCGTCTGGGCAACGAAAGGTGCAATTGAGTTTGGAAGTCGGCGAAGCGCGGAAGCTGAAGGCCAGGCTTTGTATGGCTTCAGCATGCTTCAGCTCTCGAGATGAACTCGCCTCAGCGCCTCAGCGCCTCAGGCTCAGCTGACCAAGGAGTGCAAGCTGCTGAAAGCCGACTATGAGCGCCTTGAATTTGAAAGGTCTGATGAGATTGTCTCCAAGCGCTTTGCTTTCCTTTGAAGGCGGAAGCACTCCGAGCTCGCCCGCGGGGCCGAGATGCGGGACAGGCTTTGGCTTATGAGCCCCTGCTTCCCCATGCACTCGCCATGCTCTTTGGAGGCTGGAGCAGCAGCTCGTCATGTACACACAGCAGCTAAACCAGGCCAAGGGTGCTCCAGTCAAGAGTCGAGTCAAGTAAAACAGCCTTCTACTTGACTCTTGCTGCTTGCTCTCAAGCCTGGTTCAAGGATTGACTTCTGACCTATGATTTCTAAAGGAAACGTGCAGAGGTCAACACGCCAAGCCACACCGCCAGCAGACAAATCAGTATGCAACACTGCAACACATTGCAATAGTTTGCAACTATGATGAGATGGTCGGAGACAAAACAGCGGAGGACCTGCAGGCGAAAAGGGGAAACAGAGCTGAGATTGAGTGAATGTTGAGCAGATTCGAGGCAGAAGGAAGGCGGCATTTTCAGCAGGGCAGGGAAGCCCAGCCTCAGAGGCTGAAGCCTTTCACCTTCTGCCTTTAGCCCCGAGGCCGGTTCCGTGAGGCGCTCACCTGCTATGCAGCCGCGCTTGCAGCGCTCCCGCGAGACGAGGAAATACTCAGCAAAATGCAATGCAAAATGCAAAACTGTTCTGCAATTTTCTCTTCTTTCGCTCAAGGACCCAGACCGCGCCGCCCAGCTGCGCGCGAATCGCCTTGGCACCCAGCATCCAGCATCCAGCAGTTCAAGTTGCTGAGTTTTTTCCACACGCAAAAAGCTCACGGAGGCTCGCTTTGTCTCCTGCGACTCGGGGACTCAGAGCTCGCGCTCGCAGAGGCGCAGACGAGACGAGTTTGTCAGGGCTTGAGCTGTTCACCTTGCAGGCAGAGCAGTGCAAAGCGTTGAAGCCGGACTGGCCCAAAGCTTCTTTTCGCATTGCGGCCGCCCTGAAGGCTTCCCCACTCCCCGGTTAAAATCTTAGGCGAGATTTCAGTGCTGTTTGGAGAGCGTGAATTGTGAGGCACTGGGCCGGCTGGGGGAAGCTCGTTTGGCCTTGGACTCGAACGCCTCGACTCCACGAGACATGATTTCCGAAAATTCGACTCCGTTCCTCTGGCCGAGTCTGGCCGTCTCGGAGCAGTCTCTGAGGCAGCTTGTGAAGCTCGACGGCTGGCACCCAACGATGCCTCCTTGCAGGCGCTCTCACTCCATCACTGCTCCAGCACTGCTCCATGCGAAATGCTTCGAGTTCTTGGAAGGAACTGCAAGCAGAGCTGCGGCGGTCCCTCTTTGCTGGAAAGCTCTCGACGCTTGGCGAGGCCTCAGACAAGAGAGAAAAGAAGGGAAGAGGAAGAGCAGTTTGCAGCTCTGCGGGCGTCACATAATTGGAGTTGCCAGGCCTTGGACGCACTGGAAGACTTCACCAGGAAACCTTCCGAAATCAAAGATGCTGCTCAGATTGTGCGGGACATGCTTCTTGGTCACTTCTCCGCACTCAGCATGCTCAAGCTGAGAGGTGCGTTTGAACTTGTCTGTTGTTGTTTTGACACCACGACATTCCACTCCTTCAGGCAACCGTGACAAAAGCGATGCTAGTGTGGTCCAAGCGTTCATGCGCTCTGCGGGCTCGAAGACGATATTCCGGCGTTTGATGCATGGCAGGATTACTGGGAGGTTTCCACAAGCATGGCAAAGCAGTGTTCGCAGTGTCCGTCTTGTGAGGAACGCCATGGGTGAAAATTGGCAGGAGGACTAACGGAAAAACAAGATTTTAGCACAAGTTTTCATGATCATTTTCCACAGAGGAAGCAAGGAATGGCACCATGTCTCTCTTAAGCGAGATCACCAAAGCAGGCCTCATAGACACCACTCGTACAGACACAGACATCGTGCCATGCGGGTGCAGGCGGCGCACTGGAGGACGAGCAACTGCGCCTGAACCAGGAGGACAGCATATGATATGCAATCCTGTCTGTATTGAAGTGTGGATGTGCTTTTTCACGTATTGTAAATCATGTCTGGAGTTGCGCAGTTGTTGTGCGATGATTGCAATGGCTTTTGCACTGTAGAGACCCTTTTTGATAAACGTAGCATTGGCGAAAGAGTGTATCCAGAGTCAGAGCATCGATGGATGAAAGATCTTGTGAGCTTGGCCCAAGTCTCTTTGGCATCCTTTGGCGTGATGCTTGTTCTGCGGGTTCACGGCAGCATAGCTTGCCTGTGGCTTCCTGGCCGGGAGAACACCTGCCACAATAAACCCCGTCAGCCTCTTGGATGGATAGATGAATCGGCACGCAGGGTTCTGCCGCCCCAGCGGATGTCATTGGAACGTCATGTAACGTCATGCATTTGGGTATGTGCCAATTTGTGTTCGAATGCGCCCAGGGGTGTACCAATTCCTTTGGCTGTGTCGAGTTCAGGGTTAGCTGGGTTTCTTGGTGCGGTTCTTAAAGCCGGACTTGAAGGATCCAGCATTCCCGTGCTTCCTTATCCTACCTGCCTGGACTTGAGCAGTGTGGCCGGCGGGCTTCTCCGGCTTGTTCCTCTGGTCTTGCTTGGATTTCCTCTGGCTCCTCCAGGCTTGGATTCGACGCATGCTTGCGAGCAAACCCGGGCCTCGGATCCCTGCAAAGCGTGTACAGTCGGACCCTGAAATCGTATTTTTTTCCTGCTTTGCTTGCCCACACTGGAGAAATAGAAACCGGGAAGTCGTAACAATCAGCGTTCTCACTGGGGATTGTAGATTCTTGACGGTCATCCAAAAATTGACTTTACACGCTCACACTTATTCGTCTCAGATTCTCATAGCCACTTTGGCTCCGGCCCACATGGCAGCGCAGAAATACTGACACAGGTCCAGATCCTGAAGCGTCCCGCGTCCGTTCTCAGTGAGTGATCACTAAGCCGCCTTCTGCCTGAAACTGAGAGCTGAGATTGCAGCTCTTCAAGAGCGCGTGTCGGCTCTTGAAGAGTGCCTGGCCCGAGGCGCTTCTCCTTCCTCTCCGGGTTGTGTCCTCGCAATCCTCAGCCCAGCCCAGCCCAGTTCTGCAGCTCGGCACCGTGCGCTTGAGCATCCTCAGCGCGCAGCACGTTCCCCAGCACCTGCACAAGCTTGCTCGACCCCTACCACTCCGGTTCGGGGTCCTTTTGCGCAGCCTGCTCATCAATCTGCACAGCCCTCCGTTGGTACTGGCCCTTCTTCCCGCGCTGCCGCGTCCGGGCAATCCGGACCCTCGTCTGTTTCCCCTCCCCCAAATCCACCAAGCTCCTTCGTCAGGCGGTTGCCGGCACACACCGTGGGGCCTCGGTGCGAGACAGGCTTCGGCTGCAGTCTCATTTGTACATTGTTGCTGACGGTGGACGGAATCCCTCTTGAACCCGTGGCTGTGTGTTCCAGATGTGCTGCCTGCAAAGCCTTGGGCTCTGGTGTGGATGTTTGCGGGAACTCTGTCTTCCTTGGGTTCCCTTCAAAGTGGGAGGCCAGGAGGCCTTGCTTGCAGGAGGCTTTGAGGTGCGTCCGACTTGTTTAGATGGAAGACGACAGCAGCGGGCGAAGTCTCTTCTGTTGCCATTTTGCCTGTTGGGATTTGTGACTCCAGCCTGCTAGTGGCTGCGCCGCACGGTGCATAAAAACCCGCAATCTTGATTCGTGCCACTTCTGAAAGTTCCTGCCCTTGCCGACGAGGCCTGGAAACTCATCCAGCTTTGAGAGTGAAAGTTTGGCTTGGCCTGCCTGCTCAAGAGCGTGAAGCCCAATGTACTTATGGGGAGGAGCCTGCCTTGCAAGTCTTGTGCTCGGGCTCGCCCCCTCGTCCACTTCCATTGGAGTAGCAGATTAGTCCGGAGATGGCGCTGTGACAGCCGTATGGCCGAGCCCCAAATCCCTCTTTGCTTCACGTGCCCGGCTTAGCACGCGGCGCGCGGCGGCCGCCAGAGCCGCTGGCGTGCCCGACTTCAGCCGCCTTGAAAGAAGAAGGGAACCTTCCGACCTGCGGTGGTGCAGAAAGGTCTTGACCCTGCCAAGGACAGGTCTTTTGACGTCCTTCTCGATCGCGCGGATGGAAGTGGTTCCACAACCGACGTGCTCAGCAGCCAGCCCTGCTTTTCACCTTGGCTGGAACAGAGATCGATTCAAGGGCCCGTGAGGTGGGCCTGCTCTGTTGCAGGCATCGCCGACACCATTCGACCCAAGCGAGTTGAGGAGGCTCTTACATTTTGCCTTGTGCTGCTGGTGTCATGATGGCTCGGATTCGGGAGAGAGAAGCGTTTGCTGAAGCCAGGCGCAAACTGGGGGGAAACTCGGCGTCGAGCAAAGACTGCCCGACCGAGGAGACCCCGACAAAGCCGAATGCGAAGCCGCCCGCGAAGCTTAGGAAAGGAGACAAGTCGGAGGAAGGAGCGGAAAAGTAAAGGGGGGCTGGCCCCTTTGCGGCGACTTTCGTTTAAGGCCCTCAGAAGCAAATTTTCTGACCTCCATATACTAAGAAAGGAAGTTCAAAAATTAGGCTTTTTGAGATCCTTACAGGAAATCAGCAGCCCAGCCCGCCTCTTACTGTGTTTCAAGCTGCAGCCCTTTGAACTGTGCTGCCCCTGTTGATCCGGAACCGCCTGCAAGCAACCAATTTTGCATGCGTGTGGAGCTTCACCCGTGTTCTGCCAGCTCCGCTTCCCCTAGTTCCCTAACCCGTAGTATGGAGCCTCCCCGCGCTTAGTTTCAGACAGTAGCTTGCATGCTGGCTCCTGCTTGCCCTCCGGCCAAAGTTTCTCCGAACCCAGCGCGGCGGGGTTTGCATTCTCGCGCGCTTTGCTGGGATTTGGGAATTTCTCCAAGCGAGGATCTCTTGAACGCGGATCAAGAAGTTGATCCTGGCCAACGGCGCCTGAACTGGAAGGGGAAGGGCCTGCCATCGAAATATCTGGCTCCTGCTGTGTGTTCGGCGCTCAATAGCAGCTTCCCCATAGCTGCCAGGGAGTGAAGAGTTTCAAGATGTCTTCCACGGTAGCCTCGCCTTGGAGCGGCAGAGAACGCTACCTTCTCTGACCTAAATCGAAGTTGATACCAGTCGCCTGCTTGCTCAGGATGTTCTAGTCGTCTCTGGAGGTCCTCTCCGCTGAATCCGGTGCGTGTTGTGAAAAAGGATTGTATCAGCGCCTGCGCTTGCTTAGCAGAA